TGCCTACTATGACATTCACTTTTTTACTTGGTTAAGATCACAAAAGAGGGGGTGCCTGGCTGACTCAGAAGAGCACGTGACTTTTGATCTGGCGGTTGTGAGTTTTTAAAAAAAGATTTTATTTATTTATTTGACAGAGAGAGACACAGCGAGAGGGAACACAAGCAGGGAGAGTGGGAGACGGAGAAGCAGGCTTCCCACTGAGCAGGGAGCCAGATGCAGGGCTCGATCCCAGGACCCCGGGATCATGACCTGAGCTGAAGGCAGACATTCAACGACTGAGCCACCCAGGTGCCCCTAGAAAGACACTTAATTTTTTGTATATTGATCTTGTATCCTGCTGAACTTATTTATTCTAATAGATTTTTAAATATACATTATCATGTCATCTGCAAATAGAGGTAGTTTTACTTCTGTTTCTACAATCTGGATGCCTTTTATTTAATTTTCCTGCCTAAATACCCTAATTAGAACCTCCTGGTACAATATGGAATAGAACTGGCAAGAGTAAAATTTTTGTCTTGTTTCTGATCTTATGGGGAAAGCATTCAGTCTTTACCCATGAAATATGAGGTAGTTGTGGGGTTTTGTAGATGCTTTTTGAGGGAGTTCCTTTCTATTCCTTGTTTGTAGAGTGTTTTCATTGTGAAGAGATGCTGAATTTTTTCAAGTGCTTTTTCTGTAACTATTTAGATAAGCCAGTGCTATTCAGATATATTTTTAGGTCTCTGTGTGTGTGTGTGTGTGTGTAACATCTGGAAATAAGACACAAGTCTAATTTTATAACTAAAGTTTGAATAGTATAAAATTAATTTTTAAAAAAGGCATATGTGTACACCTAAAATTAAAACTATATGTGAAAAGCTAAAATAATGACCATATCCCCTCCTTGGTAGGATGGTTAGGGAAGGCCACAGAGGACATAACATTTCAGTTATGATATGAAGGATGAGGAAGAGACCATCAAAGGAGAGTGTCCTAGACAAAGGAAATGAGGCTCTGAGGTAGGAAACAATTTAAAATCAGGAGTCAGCCAATGTAGAGGAAAGGGAGGGGATGAGGTAGGAGAATCATGGAGGAGCTGCTCACTCACTGGGCCTTATGGGCTAAAGTAGAGTTTAGAAGTCTACACTTGTGTTCTAGCATTGATGATCTTCAATCAAAGCCATAAAATGTATCTTTAATTCATACTGAAGTATTTGTAGTGAAATCTTATGATGCTGAGGTTTGTTGGGGGAAAAGAGGAAGAATATAGACAAAACAGGATGTGCCATGTGCTGATAATTGTTGAAATTAGGTGATGGTATATAGGGGTTTATTATACTGTTCTCTCCTCCATTATGCATGTTTGAAAATTCCCAATACCATTAAAAAACAAGACAGAAAACAACTGAAAAGAAAAATTATCCACTGTTGTTGGTTTTTTTTTTTTTAAGATTTTATTTATTCATTTGAGAGAGAGCTAGAGAGAGAGAGAGCATGAATGGAGGGAGGGGCAGAGAGAGAAGGGGAGGGAGAATCAGACTCCCCACTGAGCAGGCAGTCCAACAGTGGGGTTCAGTCCCAGGACTCTGATATCATAACCTGACCTAAGTCAGATGTTTAATTTACTGAGCCACCCAGGTGCCCCTCACTGTTTTTTTCTTTGTAGATAATTTTTAGATTTTCTTCAATACTATAGACTTCTTTTCAGGATAACATTTTCTGAATTTTCTTAGTAATATAAACATATTTTTAAAATAGTCAAGTGTTGAAATAAGTCACAGTGTCAGATTTTAAGATGTGTAAATTAATTAACTCAGAAATGTAAAATATTGATCACATACCTACAGAAGCACAAAACTGTGAGTCAGTAAAGAATTACTTGGCTGGTCTGGTAAACTTTAGAGTGCTATACCGTTTCTGGTTTTATCAGTATGGTAATCAATTCCTGCTTGATAGTCTCTGTCATAGGCCAATGAGTTTCGGTTCTTTCTTGTTTCTTGGGGTAAGACAGTAGAAAATGAATGTTCTCTGTGTGCTGTGGTAGTCCATCACAAGGGCTAAAAGGAATATGAAATATACAGGTGCAAGAATAGTGTAGCTCATGTGGAATAAATGGTCATGTTCAATTACATTTATACAGTTATGGATGACAGTTTGGGCAATGAGTAATTCTTTTTGTGTGTGTGAGTAAAATTCACATGTGTTGTACTTGTTTGGCTATTTTGTCTAAAGGTTTTTTTTGTTTCTATTTACTTACTTTTCCTGTTAATAGATGCAATACATGCTCTTTGTGATAAACAAAACAGAATCAGAGCATTATAGAAATACTTCTAGAATCCTGCCTATTAGAGAAACCTCACTTTTTTTTTTAAAGATTTATTTTAGAGAGCAAGAGCCTTACCCTCTCTTCCCCCCGGCCCTGGGGATGGGGGAAGAGGGGGCAGTAGCAGAGGGAGAGGAAGAAGCAAACTTTTCCCTGAGCAGGAGCCTGACCCATGAGCTCAATCCCAGGACCCTGAGATCATGGCCTGAACTGAAGTCAGATGCTTAACCAACTGAGCCACCCAGGCGCCCCTCCCTGTATCTTGCCCACACTTGACACTCTCAGACTTTTTGGCTTTAGTTTCTAATCTGATATTTGTGAAACAACCTTTAAATTTGTTTTTCTCAGATCACTACTGTGGTTGAGTATATTTTCTTATATTTATTGATGATCTGCTTGCCTTTTCTGTGAATTGCCTGTTCAGTTTCATTTACTCATAACTGGCAACAACCTGTGTCTGTCTGGATAGATCTAAATTATTCTTTACAATGGCTTTATAGTATTCCCTTATATGATCATCAACGGCTGTAACAGACCATTGGGGGAAAAGGACTGGGGAACCTGTACTTAATTATTTTTAGAAATTTTAATTCCAGTACAGTAAATATAAAAATTTGGAATGCTTCACAAATTTGTGTGTCATCCTTGTGCTGAGGCCATGCTAATCTTCTCTGTATGTTCTAATTTTAGTATATGTGCTGCTGAAGCTAACATGGGAATCTGTACTTTAAATTAGACCTAAGAGATGTATCATCCAAAAGCAACATAGGACTTTGTTTGCATCCTGGCTTTGAACATTTATGACACAGCCAGGAAAATCTGAATGGTGACTGGATATTCCCTATTATTTCATTAAGGATTGAGAAATGGTGCTATTGTAACTTAGTTATTCCTTCAGCATTTTTTACCTAATTTTCTTATAAAAGAGAACCTCTCCCTCATCAACTGTTTGATTACCCTAAGGTATAGTTTGTGCAAGAAAGATAGGATAAGTGCTGTATTATTCAGTTCATACTTTTGTAATTTCCAGGAGCTCTTCCTTCTTCTTGCTCTTCCCCTACCCCCACCTCTTTCTAAAAATAGCATACTGTTCTGATTTCATGGATGTAATGACTTTTCTTTGGTCTTTGACTATATTAATTATAGTTTTCATTTGTTCCTGTTTTGTCTGTTTCCTCAGAGTCCCATTTTCTTCCTGGTAGTTTTGGTCTCTTTCAGGTTGGAGCTTCACGTGCCTGATAACCAGTAATTATCCCTTCATGTTTTAAGCATGAGGCACTAAAAAAAGGAGGGCCAGAAGCTTTGTGTGCCTGGAAGCAGTTTATTGCCAATTGGGAACCCAGATTTCAGTATCCCATGGTCTTTTTGCTCAGAGGCATTTGAGTTTTGCCAAGGAAAGATAATGTCATGGGGAGTGGAGTGGTAGATAAGCCTAGTCATTATGAGAATCTGGGTGAGGGCCAGAATGGAAAGGGGGCTATCAGTGTTGCTTCTTGGTATATAGATTTTCACTTAATTCTTTTCTTTTCATTTAGCACCTATTTGTTAGGGGTATTCCCTTGTGTAGAATCTCTCTTATTGAGGGGTGCCTGGGTGGGTGGCTCAGATGGTTAAGCATCTGCCTTCAGCTCAGGTCATGATCTCCGGGCCCTGGGATTGAGCCCCTACTTGGGGTTCCTGCTCTGTGGGGTGTCTTCTCCTTCTCCCTCTGCCCCTCCCCTCTGCACTTGTGCTCACACGCCTGCTCTCTCTCTCAAATGAATTAATTAAATCTTAAAAAAAAAATAGAATCTCTTACTGAGTCTATTCAGAAAACAAATTTCTTGTCTTCTGTGTGGGTAGACAGGAGGGCCACCTGGCTCCTCTGGGATGGCACTGGGGATGTATTAGGGATGTTACTCACTTTTACTAGTGCATCCAACTGGGCCACTTGTATGCCCCACCTTTTTTTTTTTTTTTCCCCAGTAAGTTCTATGCCCAGTATGGGGCTTGAACTCATGACCCCCCCCCTCCCCGAGATCAGGAGCTGCATGCTCTACCTACTGAGACTGAGCCAGCCAGGCACCCCTAGTTGGTTGTCTTAAACAGGATCAAATAAGATGGTTCACATATTTACATTGGTTAATGTTTCTTAAATTTCTCTTAATCTCTAACAGCTCTCCATTTTTTCCCCCTTGCTAATGAGTTTTGAAGAAACTGGACCATTTGTATTTGAAAATTTTCCACATTTTGGATTGGAGGGGGAAATCATATCCTTTGGGTATTGTTTAATATGGTGTATCCTCTTGGGGTTCCTGGCTGGCTCAGTTGGAAGAGCATGCGACTTTTGATCTTGGGTTTGTGAGTTTGAGCCCCACCGTGGGTATAGAGATTAGCTAAATAAATAAATTAAAAACTTTAAAAAATATATGGTTTCTCATTTCTTAAAGATACTACATTGAAAAACAATTACATTTAATGGAACTAATTATTATCAAATGGAATTTGATAATAATTACCTAATGTAATGCAATATTTTCCTTCTCCCACTCTGCAGAGTAAATGTGGGGATACTTAGCATTAATAAGTTGTCAGCCTTTTATTTGGTGGTATTATTTTTTAGACAACTACTGTAGTCAAAGTTACTAATAAAGGGCTTTTCTTTTTTTGGCTCTTGCATCTATACTCCCAATTAGGAACAGTCTCTAGGGACTTTTTTTTTTTTTTTGAAACTTCGGGTGCTTGCCTTTTCAAAGTATTCATTTGTTTTTCTCCAGAACAGTGGGGCAAAACAGCCCCTATAAGCCATCTGGACTTGAAACCATTTTGCTTCATCACAAAGCTTATTCTTTTTAGATCCTGACATAAGTCTGTATTGTTTACTGACTTTTTTTTTTTTTTTAACAGTGTCTAGTTGCTCCCAGGAGAGTACTGTCTGAAGTTATGTCAATGTTGTTGGCTGATTAGTAATTGAGAGGGGAAAGGGGCATTTAATGAAGAGGGGTTTATCTTTTATCATACATGCTAAAAAAGCCCATGCATGGGCTCTTACCCTTCCCACCCAACACTTTTTAAAAAAAGATGTGCAAGAGAGAAGACATAAAGACAAAGACACAGAGGGTTGGGGGAGATGTGTGCCCTACAGCAACATTCCTGAGAGATTTGACAAACTGCTATGCAGAAGGGGAGTAACCAGAATTTTCCAGGGGTTGAATGCTCTTGGAATTTGAAAAACTGCTGCTCTCCTGCCTTGATTTTTGTTGTTGTTGTCATTGTTTCAAGTTTTTGTTTAAAGATTTTACTTATTGGGCGCCTGGGTGGCTCAGTTGATTAAGCGACTGCCTTCGGCTCAGGTCATGATCCTGGAGTCCCTGGATCGAGTCCCGCATCAGGCTCCCTGCTCAGCAGGGAGTCTGCTTCTCCCTCTGACCCTCCCCCCTCTCATGTGCTCTCTCTCATTCTCTCTCTCTCAAATAAATAAATAAAATCTTAAAAAAAAAAAAAAGATTTTACTTATTTATTTGACAGAGTACAAGTAGAGGGACTGAGAGGGAGAGGGAGAAGCAGACCCCCTGCTAAGCAGGGAGTCTCATGAGGGGCTCAGTCCCAGGACCTGGGAACATGACCTGAGCCAAAGGCAGATGCTTAACCAACTGAGCCACCCAGGCGCCCCTTAAGTTTTTGTTTAAATTCTAATTAGTTAACGTATAGTGTAATATTGGTTTTGGGAGTACTGCCTTGATTTTGATATTGCCCTAACCCCCCCAGCATTTGCCAAATGTAGTGGAGGGTGACCAACTTGATAAAGTTTGCCACTAAAAAGAAGTTAAGGCACATTTAATCACTTATGATTGGCCATAGGCTTCTTATGAGCTTTCATATACTTTTTTCCCCCCTCCTTCAAAATGTTTCTGGCTAGGGTAATGCGTCAAGCCTTATTTCCTTTGCATAAAAATAATGCATTATATGCAAATTTTGGTGATAAAAGGAATTTTAGTTGGGTTGGGAACTTTTGTTTTTTTATTTTTTTAAAGATTTGACAGAAAGAGAGATAGCAAGAGCAGGAACACAAGCAGGGGGAGTGGGAGAGGGAGAAGCAAACTTCCCGTTGAGCAGGCATCTGGCGGATGCAGGGCTCAGATGCAGGGCTAGATCCCTGTACTCTGGGATCATGACCTAGGCGAAAGGCAGATGCTTAACTAAGCTACCTAGGCGCCCCTTGCTATTATTTTAATATGTGCCTCCAAATCTTTTCTTTATTCCTCCAGTTTTTTATGATCATGCTACCTGTAATGTTTTATATCAAAGCCCTTAAGGAATGTATGAAAAAATAATACTTTTCATACATTTTCTAAATACTTTAATCCACATTGTTAACCTGCAGTTGGGTTGTGCCAGTTACACTCCAAATAATGAGATAATTTATTTAGAAATAAATATCCTGTGTGTGCAGGTGCATACCTCACAGGTAGTTCCCCTTGATATTAAAAATAAATTCTATTACCCATAGCTACCTCCTTTTTTTTTAAGTTTTTATTTAAATTCCAGTTAGTTAATATACAGTGTTATATTAGTTTCAGGTGTACAATATAGGGACTGAGCACTTCCATACATCACCCGGTACTCATCACAAGTGTACTCCTTAATCCCCATCATCTATTTCACCCATCCCCCTGATGTGATTTGAAGTGGGGTTCAGCAAAGAAAGAATTCTTTAAACATTTTCGGTGGAGAAAGGTGGTTTTATTATAGTACGGGGATAGGACTCGTGGGCAAACAATGCTGCACTGGGATTGTGAAGAGCAGTTGATCATATACTTAGGAATTGGGGGAGGTGAAGACAAAAGGAAGTTTCCAAAAGGATTTTCCTATGTCAAAGAAGACTTACAGGATCCTGGAGGCCTAGCTATTATCAAGCTAAGGTTGTTTTTGCCTCTAGCAAGGCATTGATGTTAAGATTGGGAGTTCCTGGAGGAATGTCATAGTTTGTCTGCCTCAAGTATTTGTCAAAGGGCTACAGGTTATAAGAAAACTTATTTTTCTTTTTAAGATTTTATTTATTTATGTGAAAGAGAGAGAGAGAGCATGAGTGGGGTGAGGGGCAGAGGGAGAAATGGACTCCCCGCCAAGCAAGGACCCTGATGTGGGGCTCGATCCTGGGGCTCCAGGGTCATGACCTGAGCCAAAGGCAGAGGCTTAACCAACTGAGCCACCCAGGCGCCCCAGAAAACTTAATTTCATCTACATTTCTTTTGCCTTTGTTCTCTACATCACCCCCAACCACCTCCCTTCTGGTAACCATCAGTTCGTTCTCTGTAGTTACAAGTCTGTTTCTTGGTTTGCCTCTCTCTTTTCTTTTTCCCTTTGCTCGTTATTCTGTTTCTTAAAATCCACATATGAGTGAAGTCATAAGGTCTTTGTCTTTCTCTGACTTATTTCACTTAGCATTATATTCTCTAGTTCCATCCATCTTGTTGCAAATGGCAAGAATTCATTCTTTTTTATGGCTAATTTTCCATTATATATATATATATATAACACATCTTCTTTATCCATTCATCAATCAGTGAACACTTGGGCTATTTCCATAATTTTGCTGTTGTAGATACCTACCCCCTTTGTTTATCCCAGATAAGCAATTATCACCATCCGCCATTGGTTAAACTAGAAATCTATCCTTTTTCCTGATTTTTCCTTCTTCTGTCTTCTCCCTTACATTCATTCAGTCACCAATT